GGGTTTTTGAAAATCGGGGTTTTTGTGTGCGATTTCTCATTCGCCTAGCCTATAAACTGGCAGGGTATTTGAAAAAAGAGACCAAAACTCCCAGCTTCTCGCAAAAAGTAAGGATGAAAACGAAGCTCGAACACAATTTTAGGTCCATTTTGAATTACGAGTTTGCGACCAATGGGCTCCGATGGGTGACTATGAGGACACAGATGTGCAGCTTGTGCAAGCTTTTAGGGTATGACCGAATTTTTGGCAAATGCCCAAGTCATCTCGAAGTCCAAGTTTCAGATATCAGAAGTTCCTGAACGATTACATTGGGCCGGATCAAGGTTTATGAGCGGTGTCATACTGCTAACAAAACCAGGAACAAGTATCATCACGGTAAGCGTTGCATATAGCTTAGCTGATCACGAATATGGTGTTTTTGCGTTGCCGACAACATTTGTGCGTAAACTACGGCAATTGCTCGCGAAATGCCAGCAAGTTGTAGGCATTCCAAGCACAGTATTTGCTTTCGCGCAAATGTTGTGCCCAATGCAGGCAACCAAATCAAGCGTCGATTTTACTGGACTGGACTCCTTAATTTATTTTGTTAAAGTGTATCTTATAATACTTTTTAGCGGGAGCTTCCCTCAATTCCTGCTGCCAGTGATCCTTTGAAGGAAGCGAAACAAACGAGCGGATGGGATCCAGAAGCAGCACAGATGAGGGGTATCTTTATGGCTAGGGGGCCAGGTGGGGTTTACAAGTACTCTTGAAGTCATGAAAATTCGAAGAAGATTTTTCAGGGTTCAAAGTAGACGAGAAAGTTGGACCGGTTGAGATAGTTGACGTCTATCAGGTGAAACGCCATTAAGTTTCTATTCTGCAACAAAAGGAAAGATTTTTTTGATTTCAGGTAATCCTGAATATCCTGAGTGTTGATTCAGCACATCCTCATAACGGAACATGGTCAAATGTGGCTGATATGTTGTCTAGTGGATGGGAAAATCGAGCGAACAGCGATAAATTTAACGAAGCCACACGATTTGGCCTTACAGCCCTTCCCTTGATCCTGTTAATGTACAGGTTTCTGCCCTGATTTCGCTTGAGAATTTCTCAGTTCCTGCGATCTTGTGCCCATTGCTGTG